TTTATTCAATCTAATCTTGAAGACTCCTGTGAAATTCATTCACTCCTATAAGCCTATAAATAGGAGACTCTTCCCTCCCATTATACACACCAAAAAAAAAAAAAAGGAGAGCCAAAAACAAGAGGAAGAAAAGCTTCCCTGCTTAGTGCAAATCAATCTTCTCTTGCCTTTTCTTTGTGAATCTGTCTATGTGACTGATAATGGCCTTCAAATTGGAGATACCTTTGTGGTGTGGATCAAGTTTCTGAGCCGAATCATAAAGGGGAAAACCGTTCCTTTTATTTTCAGATTTTTGGTCTTGATTTTCTTCAATTTACTTTGCAAATCCTTACACTAATCAATTGTTTTGGTTAATTTGTAGGTGGGTTTGCTTCTCAGCTCTTGAAAGGGAAGGAAAACGTAAAGGTTAGGAGTGATTTATGGGAACTGAATAATGAACAGTGCAAAGCTAGATAGGTGTGAACACAAGGGCGCACAAATGAAAAGTAAATGCAACATCCTCTCTTTTAAAAGAGTTGTGATTTACCCAATAACCAGGTATTTGTTACCAGGAGCACAGATTAGTTTTAGAAAGAAAATAAATAATAGGTTGCTATGCGTATAACAATACATTTGGGAAATTTGGAAAAAAGCAAAAAAAAATGTTTCACAATGTCAATTGACCTACGGACATTAGTGTAAGTCGGAGAAAACAAAATATAATCAATTTTTAGGCAAATCATACCGATTTATTCATGATAAGAGTAGGAAAATACTTGGACTGCTTATTCTTCTCAGTGTTGATATCATTTCTCTTGCTCAATATGCAGCTTGGATCCCTGCCAGCTTGTTCAAATGCTTGGCTAAAATTTTACGGTACAGATTAAACACATGATCAAGAGGAAAAACCATAATTGGTAACAACTGCAAATTTAAACACTAAATGTTATATAAATGATTGATAGGAATTAGCAAGAAAACTGAAACCAAATACACCTCAAGATAATAATAAAAAATGTTATTATTCGTTTTTCTATTAAAGGATATTTTTTGCTCGTTATACTTATCTTTATTCCATCTATATCTTTACTAATTTACACAGTTCAATTTACAATTTAACAGTAAATACCAAAAAAATATCATCATAAGGCATTACAAATTCGCATGTCAAAATTCAATAAAATTCATCCTGAACTACCATCGAATGCATTTTTAACGGAATTAAATACTATGACGATGTTTACAACAATAAGAACAACACACCTTAGATCGAGATTTTAAAACTTGCAAAAATCATGACATCAATAAAATAGTATGGTAAATACATTTTACCTAGAACAAAATTTCTGACATCAGATGTAAAAACATTCTCTGAGTTGGATAACTGCATGTAAATTGGAATTTAAGAAAATGTTCGATGTTCTAAACAATCTAATATCTCAAGCAACAAACGTAGAGCCTCATTGAAGATGGCGTAGTGAAGCCGGTTTATGACTATTAACTAATACCAAGTTGCATAATGACAATGATCTTGTGGCAATTACCCATCAGCTAAGTAAATACATGACATTCTGTTGGATATGGTACCTTGTCTCGCTTCTGTGCTTGTTGTCTCCATTGGTCTCGTTAGCTTTAGCCTTCCTCTCCAAACATTCATTAGCCTGCAATATCCTCTAAACCATCTCTCCTTACACATTTAGAAACTCCAGTTAACGGAACAGGAACTTCCTAAATACAGGTCATAATTTATTAGAGAATTAGTAGGTTTTAATCCATCAGGAATTAAAAATTAAGTTTACAAAAGCATATTGATATGCCTAAGCAACAGCTTGGACAAGATCTTCTGACCGAGCTATAAGTGTTTCTTTCATACCATCATTTGCAACATTTGCAGCTCGACTCCCTTTTTTAATCACCCTTGAGTTCTTCAACAAAATAGCTGGATCAAACATATATAAATCGTAAATTGTATCAAGAGAATAACTGTAATCATAATCATTGAGTAGATAAGCAAGCATTAGTGTTAAAACATAAAAATTCAGCCCAAATCGAACGACCCAAGGAATGAAGCCCAATTGGAGGATCTCCAAATCAAATAGCCCAAAGAACGAAGCCCAATCAGACAATTTAGGATGAAGGCCCAAATAGGGAGGCCCATGAACGCGGTAACACCATCGCCCAAACTTGCAAATCGCCCAGGATCTGAGCGAATTGAGTGCCATGCAGTCGCCAGAGCTGCTACTCTATTCTCGCCCAAACCTTCGAGTCGCCCAAGGTCTTAGCAAACATGAAGTGTTATGGTTATCAAGAAGCGCGGTTATTAAGCAGCCCTATCACGTTCCTCAATTCAAGGAATTCAATTGAAGACGGTTGAACGACAAAGAGTAATGGCAGCAGTTAGAAAAGGCAGTTCCATGACAAGTTGGCCATTACGAGGAAAGTGGGTAGTTATAGAACGATCAAGGAGTTTTCAGGCGATTGATCACAAAGAGATCATCCAGGGAGTATAAAAGAAAGAAAAGACATAGAGCAAAGGACCCCGAATCAAACACTCTCAAACAAAGAATATGTAACTTTCAATTTCTTAGTTTAAATTTAAACACTTCTTTCAGTAACTCGTGTGCTTGCGCCCCTTGGAGGCATTCTGTTTTTACTTTCCGATTGTAAAGTCATCGCCAATAAAGAACACCCATTTTTGGGACTTTGTCTCAAGAGATTTGTCCCTTACAAAATTGTCTGATCCCTTTTTAATTGTTAGCGACTAACGTGCGCGAAACAATTTGGCACGCCCAGTGGGACAGTGGTGTTTGGGGTTGAAAATACAAAAGGTGAAACAATATGCCTCAGAGATCCGATAAGGAAGCAGCAAGTCAGGGAGGAGTCCAGTCTGTGATCGAGCAATATGAGGAGCATCATGCCTCTCCACGAACAGATGGATAGAATCAAAGGAGTAACAGTCGTTACGAACCAATGACAGAGTTGAGTCCTCGAACTATGCGTGCACTACTTGGAGAACTCACACAAGATGTCGTTGAACAGATAAATCTTCGAAATATTCATAATATGGAAAGATTTACCCAAAATGAAAATGCACATTACGACAACATGGCCAAACAACTAAACACTTTGAACGAAATAATGAATAAGTTAGTAGGCCAAATATGTCAACCGGTTCTGCCTCTTGCAAACCACTTTCAAATTAGGACAATTGTGAAACGTAATCCCTCAGTCCTAAATCCGAATCAAGAGATAGAACCACTTTCTGGTCCCTCTACTTCAAACCAAGGGGGTGGTGCAGTGCCAAATCAGAACAATGGTAGTGGTGCGCCTAACTTGGGGGTAATCCAAATGTAAGAGATAATGTCCCAAACAATGGACAGAATACCCCACGTGTTAATGAGGGAATAGATGTTCAAGCTAATGGTAATGGCCCAAATCATGGTAACTTTGTTGCCAATTAAGAACCAAACATTAGGCCTCATGCAAATCAACCGGTTAACCAACCTGTAGGAATTCCATATGACCCCCAACGTCATGTGGAGGAATCAGATTATGAAAATCGTACAGGATCAGATGGCTTTTGGGGTGCGTCCTGTCATTAGGCCGACTTACACAAAGCCATATCCTGATTGAGTAGACCAAGCATATCCATGGTCTAGAGGGTATAAAGTGCCAGAATTCTCACTGTTTACCGGTTTATGGGAGGTGTCTACTCTAGAACACATAGGGCGATTCACATTGCAAAGTGGTGATGTAATTGATTACCATAAAATGAGACTTTTCCCTGGTTCATTAACAGGAGTAGCCTTCTCCTAGTTCATCAATTTGCCAGCGAACTCTGTTCAAACATGACAACAATCAGAACAATTATTCCACGCTCAGTTTTATAAAACTGAGTCTGAAGTTACTTTGGCTGATTTGGCGAATCTACGTCAAATGCCAAACGAATGGGCAAAAAGTTTTCTCCAAAGGTTCAAGACAGCAAGAAGCAAGTGTTTTGTACCTCTGCCCGAAAAAAAATTTGTCAAAATCGCTCAGAGTTGTTTGAGCTTTGATTTAAAAAAGAAATTCCAAGATAAGGAATTTCCTGAGCTTTTTCAGTTGAGTGCGAATGTGATTAGGTATGAACGACTGATAAGAGAAGAAGAGCAGATGAAAAATTCTAGTAAAGGGACTTATTACAAAGATCCAAATTTTGACGTTCATATCATCAGCGACAAGTCATACGAGCAAGCCGAAATGTGTTTGGCCGAATTGGTCAAAGGAGACACGTATACTTGTCCTATAATGACTAAACCTAGACCATCGGGCAAAGATGAGCCCATGAAAGATGGAAACATAAAGGTTAAAACTTTCTCGTTCGATGTGATCAAAGCTGACCTTATATTTGATAAATTATATAAGGATAAGCAGATAAAGCTGAGCGATAAGCATAAATTGCCAAACCCTGAACAAATTAAGGGTAAAAAAATATTGTAAGTGACATAATACACGGTCACATTTGACTAATAATTGCTTGATTTTTCGCCATGTATTGTAGGATGGCATTGAATCAGAACGAATTACGTTTGACGATAAGAAGAAGATGGCAGTGGATGAAAATCCTTTTCCACAGCCACTTGGAGTGAACATGGTGACGTCTGGCTTCAAAAACAAGTTGCCAAAATTCAAGTTGGTCACAGATGATGGAGAAGAGGACCCTGGACCACATCCCAGTGTCTTTGAACGAATCAAGGGGAAGGAGCCAAAAAAGGACAAAGACATCTTGTGTGCAAGATGTAAAAGAGAAGTGAGTGGGAACACGGAGAAACCAGGGATATGGCAGCATCCCCATCGCCCTACTTTCTTCCCAAACACTCAGCCTGGTAGAGGGCGAGGTACATCATTCTAGAGAGGACGGCCTTTTGAGAGGCAATTCAGGCCAGTAGATAATGGAAGAACATTCAGGCCGCAACCTCGTCGGCAAAATGTATGGCATTCATTCCAGTATAATGCAGGAAGGGCAATACCCTTCGATGAGATGACTAGAACCCAACAAAGGCATTTCCAACGAAACTATGGACGAATAATGAGGCAGCAACAAGGAGTGCCACATCTTAAAGCGCCTAAACTACTCAAGGTAGCCAATCAAAATGTTCTCAAAGATAGTGAAGAGACCAGTACAGATGAATCAATGAAAGAGCTAACAGAAACTTCTTCTGGGAGATCAAAGTTTGAACGAGACAGAAGGGATGGAGAAGATCCAGATCAGCCCCTTACTATCCAGTTCGGTACCTTACCTCTTGTCATAGCTAATAATTACTTACTGGCCAATGAATTCAAGAATAAAGAAAAAGAAGAAGAAGAAAAGGAGGACAACGAAGGAGAGGCTTGCGTGCTGGAATGTGAAGAAGGTCAGACTTCTAGAGAGGCCTACAATAATGAAGAAGATGACGGGATGATAGACATCGAAGAAAAAATCGACCTAGAAGCAAAAAGAAGAAGGAGAGGAGTATCGCACAATACTCTGTTGAAGCAACTACATCGAGAGGGAGGTCGTGAAGTAGACTTGTTGGGAGAACCATCTGGGCATTCTTTCAATTTCTACGTACTGTACGGGACGCCCAAAAGGAAGAAGAGAGTGCCTCGCTCTGAAAAGTATGGATCACCTCCAAGAATAATGCCCCCTCCCACAGGTTGGGTAACTGATGAAGTAGCATTAGAAAACAGTAAGTAGAAAATTCAGGAGACAGAGGCTCAGCGCGATATGCTGCACGTCGACTTATCACAGGGGGATAATTCGACAGAAAACAAGCAGGAAGTAGAAATAGAAGCTGTCGAAAAGGTTATTTTTAAATGGCCAGCCATGAAATTGACTAAACACTTGAGGCCATTGTACGTTAAAGCTCTAGTTAACGGCATACCTGTGGCAAAAGTGCTTGTTGATAATGGAGTAGCTATAAACACCATTCCATCTAGGATGATGAGGAAATTTGCAAAGACAGAGGGTGACATGATTCCAACAGAAGTCATCCTTAGAAGTTTCAATGGAGGAGCAACTTTAGCTAAGGGAGTTATGCCATTGGACATAACTATAGGGACAACTACTAGGACCACAGTCTTCTTTGTAATAGATAGTCCTACTAGTTACAATGTGTTACTAGGAAGAGATTGGATACACGGAAGTCACTACATACCCTCATCACTCCATCAATGCCTGGTCTTTTGGAACAACAAGGGTGACGCAGAGGTGGTGCAGGCCGATCATAGGCCTTTTGTCGCAGAAGCAAACTCAGTGGAAAGGTTCATGTACGAAGGAAACTATGGACCTGTCAGGGTAGTCCAAGAAGGGGAAGAAACTCAGATCGTCGCACAGAGTGAAGAGCCATTTTCAGTGGACGCACACACTAAAATGTTTAGCCAAATGAGACCAAATATAATGGTCTTAGAAGAGCTAGTAATTGGCAAAAGAATAATCAAGGAATCTTGAATGGATTCTAAGCTACAAAAGCAAATGGCCAATATTCAGGCCTTCAAAGCCAGATTAATGGCTTTCAATAAAGAATGCAAGGACAAGACAAAAGAAGAGGCAGCCTTAAGAGCGCTGAAAGACAAATGGGCAGTATTCGAGTTAGAACATAGCATTGGCCGAGAAGTCAACAAGGTGGACTGTTTAGAAGAAGAAGTACTTACAAGGAAACTGGACGACGAAGTGATGCGGATTATCAAACCTGGATACACTCAAGCACAAGACCCTTTGATCAAAGTAAATATTGGCAATGAAGGAGAAGATCGTCCAACATTTATCAGCCAGATGCTCAATCAAGAGGTTAGTGATAAATTAATCACTTTGCTAAAGGAGTATAAAGATTGTTTTGCTTGGGAATATAAACAAATGCTTGGTTTAGATAGAGACTTAGTAGAACATAGGTTACCAACTAAGCCTAATTTTAAACCTCATAGGCAGGCTCCTAGATGTTTTGCTCCTAATGTACTCCCTGAGATTAAGAAAGAGATAGAGCGATTATTGAAAGCAG